TAATTAGTATTTTTTTTTTCTTTCCAGTAGATGGAATGAGAGTCAGAGGCTGGTTTCCAAGGAAATGTGTGGAAAAATGTCCACATGACTCTGAAATGGATCAACCATTGGATGGAGAGAAGAAAAATAGATAGCCTTCTTGTCATCTTTATGAACAAATGGGAATGTTCCTTTCAGGCCACAGTCCTTTACTTGAAATCTACTGTATATTACTTTGGATTTAAGCAGGAAATATACGGTGTGAAAGTGACTCTCACAATTAATGGGTACCCTAGTGCCATAGTTTGCATATTTTTTTATAACTGAAGAAGCCATTCCACATTTGGGATACAAAGGTTTTTCCACCTTAGGACAGATTTGATTGTGTTTTCTTTACTGTTTAAATGATTTTTTTTAATTGTAGACAAGGGTTTTTTTTAAATTTTTCCACAATGGCATCTATGGCTAATGCATGCTGCTTTTCCTTTTATATATATCTTGGTCCTGTGCCCCAAATACCCCTGAAAGCTATGGAGCAAACTTTGAATTCCAATGCAAGTGTAAGATTTGCTACCTGTGACTTTTAATAATGTGACCTTTGTCAATCACAAATAAACAATGTGTATTCTGTATAACTGCATTTAAATGTTTAAAATGTCACACTGATCAATTTACAGGTGCAGAAATGGGAAAAGATCTGAACTGGAGAAAAGCTTGCAGTAATGGAGGTTATAGATAAGAAGAGCAAGAATTAAAATATTATCTACTACTAATTGCAGGCAGTGTCCTATGTACATTCTGATAAGGGAGCATAGTCCACTTATTTAATGGCACAGTTATAGAAGTAATAGAACCTCTCTGGTCCAACCACCCACCACAGGGTTCTCTGGCCCTTATTTTGCTCAGGATGGAATTTCATGATTCCTTCAGTCTCAGGCAGGAATTGCTGCCCTGTGTGCGACACCTGTTTATCAGCCTGCAGGGCAAACTGTGCCTGGTGCGAATGATCACCATTCTTTTTACTAAGAATGCAGTTGAAAAAAAATCAACTTGGTAGTACTTTAATACATGTAACAAGAACAGAATAAATCACATTCTATATTCACAGCCTAAGCTACCTCTAACTTCCACTAAGTTCCCCTTGTAAGAATCTTTGTAAAGCCAGAAAGGGGCTTTTTGAGCTTCTAGTCAAAGCATTTGCTGGGCGATAAGTGCTCAGATAGTTCTCCCATCTTCCCCTTAGTCACCCTGGGGGGGAAGTACTTAGTCAAAGATGTTGGCAGAGCCAGGCCACCATACAGTAGAAACAAAATTTAAGAGCATGTCTGCTGCTGCAATATTACCTCACACCTGTGAGGTGCTAGGTTTTGTTTTAATGATTAATGTATTTGAAGGGTGCTAATGACATGATGCATAGAAGTATGCAGTGGCATTAGCCTAACTACATAAAGTGCCTTAATTCCTGTAATGTTAGCAAAGGCTGTCAAACTTTTCAGCTATGTCTACACTGCAGGCTTCTTGTGCAAAAGATCTTCCACAAGAGTGCATCCACATTGCCATGTGCTTTTGCACAGGAGTGTCCCTGGCAGTGTCCCATGGGGCTTTCTTGTGCAAGAAACCCCTGATGCCAGTCTATATTGCCTTCTTGTGGAAGAGCTCTTGCATCAGAAAACAGGGCTTCTTGTGCAAGAATGTGCATGCAGTGTAGATGCTCTGCAAGTTTTTGTAAAAAAAGCCTGGAGTGTAAACCTTCATGTATAGTTGAGATAGGAAACAGTTGTAGGCACCTACTTAACTTCCCTGAAGTGGGGTGCTGCAGTTGTGTAGTGGAGTCATTTTCCCATACAATTAATTTGTTCCTAAAGAGACATGAGCTGATGCTGAGACTTATCTAAGCTTAGAACAACTTCAGTCAAGCATTCTATGGAATGG